TTTAAAAGAAAATTCGATGGATAGGACCGAATTTTGAAGAAGAAACTTCCGCGCGAAGAGTTGCGTGCTTTGGGTAATAGCCGCGAATGGTGTCTTCTCCTTCTCACCCCTAGTCTATAAAATCCCCCTGGGCATGGTCGAATTTCGTTCGGTTTTTACACAGCAATTCTCATATTTCGTTCTTGATACTTTCGAGTTTTATCCGATTGAATTTTGGAGTGAACAACCAAAATATTCAATCTGAAAGTGTTTACACAACTCTCGATTCATCCAAGTTATCATTAATTTTCCCAAAACATTTGACACGGGAAAGTTCTAAAATGTCATGCTTTTGAGGAAAAAAATGGTTTGTTACACAACTAAAGTAGAATAAAACATAAAACATTACTAAAAACAATTTGAATAGTCCTTCAGTCTTTATCCAACATTTGTTGCTAATGACCATATTTGTATAGTCATTAGTATAATCAGTCATTATCTAATAGTGATTACTCATGCAGCCATATATAATAGATCATATGTTATTATGTATCGTCAAGAAAAAAACATACTTAGTCTTATTTAGAAAAACATACTATCTTTTAATCTTATACGAAGTAAATTTTTCATCTAGCTAGTATTGACCTTCATAGCTTACCCCAAGCTCTAATGCACTTTAGTCTAGAGGGAATCAACTCCCGAGGACAATAATGTAGTTGTGGTTAAGATATTGGATTTCAATGGCGAAAATTTAAATGAGAAGAATTAAATTAAAATAGATAGAGGAGCCCTCTATCTTTTTTCAATTGATCCGTTTTATAGCTTAAGATAGCAAATTTAAGCAAATGAATTCCCAAACTTACTTGCATTAATAATACGTACTAGTAGTACCAAACAAACAAAATCAATAAACAATCTCTCTTTATTTTCATTACCATTCACCAAAAAAGAACATGTGACTCAACGCTAGCTAAAATAGCTACTAGTACCAAACTAAAAAAGCATGCAAAACACTAACATAACGTTGACTTATTAATGACTTGAAAAAAAACATAATCTCGCATCTCCCAAACCATAAGTAAATAAAGAAACTAGGACTCTTCTCCTTCTCTTGTTCTCTTTTTTGTGACCTTCTTTGACTTCTCAACCATCTTTGCCATATTTGGAGTTGCATAGAAAGCACCACCACAAACTTTCCTGGAGCTAGATCGACGGCGGGCGCAACCCGTAGCCAATTGTGTTCCAGGCACTTGCCCGCCTTGAGTCGTTGCCCTTTGCATTGCATGAGAGCTCATCCCAGCGAGAGCATACGCTCTCCCTGACGAGCAATACACGTGCATATTCTCCATCCATTTCCTCGTCTCTTCTATCTCCGCTACTAGGCACATCGACAAGTTGTCGTTCGCATGGCATGACGCCGAACCTAGCAGTTCCTCTCTTTTGGCTTGCAGGAGTTCCTGAGCTCCGGTTAGGTCTCCACTCTCAGCCATCTTCTGTGCTTGCGTGATGCCTTCTATCACACGAAGGCGGTTCCTCTGCCTATCAACCTCCAAGTTCACTTGCATTTCCCCTGGGGAGGGGGAGTTAGGTCGACGTATCTCGACCAAGTCCCCTCCACTACTTGCATTGTGTTCTTAGACAGCGCACTGACATCCTTGTAAGAACACTTAATGTCCAAAAGAGTCGTTTTTCTCTCGATACTATCATTGGACGAGGACAGGGAGGAGACCGGAACTGACACGTTCACGAAAAATTCTTTGGCCTCGTCTGCGTACAAGTCCCCAATGTGGAGCAATCCCTGGGAGCCTTGGTCCGAGATTTCACTACGGTATCTCCCTGAAGGAATCGACTTGATTTCTACCCCGTGCGACGCTGACCTCACCATCAAACAAAGATCCTGAACCACCACGCTTAACACCCCTCCAATGCAACTAGCAAAAGCATCTTGTACCACTCTATACGACTCGATGAAGGAGAAAGTCCCATCTGATGCTTCGCCAATAGCATGCATTGCAACCGGGTCATGGTCCGAACCGAAACCAAATGCATGGACCGGAAATGTCTCTTTAACAACATCATCTTCTTCTCCCATTGTTTTTTGATTCCTAGGGCAGATAGACGCAAGCAACAAATGCAGATAATCCGGAGCCTTCCGTGAACCTCTGCTTTGAAAGCTTGAGCCTCCATTACAATTATCATTCCCATCCGACAAGAACAAAATGGTCGCCATCGGATTCCGGTGTCGCCTCTCTTCAAGGACTTTCACCGCCGTTTTCAGGCCTGCGACGATGTTGGTTGTGTCCTTGGTCAATAGCGAATTGACTGCACACCTAGCCTCGTCGCGTCCGTGCTCCGTCATTAGAGTCAAGCGTAACACTCTCTTTGCGTGAGTCGCAAACGACACAATAGAAAGCCTGTCGGACGGTCCCAAGTTATCAACCACAAAATGCACCGCTTGCTTCACGAGCGCCAATTTCTGCCCGCTCATGCTTCCACTAACATCTAGAACCATGACAAGATCCACGGGCGCGCGTTGGGACCTTCCATCGGGGAGTGACGGGGCCCGTATTCCAACCAACACCGAGAACTCAGGAATAGATTCAGAAGCAGCAATGGCCACACGCTCAGGGACGGACTTGATGCAAACCTTGTGTTGTGGTCCGTCCCCGGAGGAGCTCGGGTCGTCCAATGTGGTGGACAAAATGATATGCAGTGGATCATCATCTGAGAAGTCAATGGGTTCGTCTTCCTACATGCAAAAACAATATTTAAGACTCATTTAATTAAGTCGCCATGAACATGTTCCAATTAATTAGGACCCATTTTATTATGATGATAAATCAGTCTGCTCGTTTCAATCACAATTAAGTACTATCCAGATATATCAAAACATGACTGAATATATGCACGCTTCTTTTGTTTTTTTGTTGCAAAACTAGGATTCTCTTGTGATATACACTATTCGTCCCATAAGCTTCTTCATGTTTTGACTCTTTTTTGTCAAATAATAACACACTTTTCATGAATTGTAAAAAAAAATATTCAATTATGATTTAAATTCAATATGATTGGGTTCGTGTTAGAATATGCTATTTTATATATAAAATATATTAAAACATTTATTTATTGAAATTATATTTAATTTGTTGTCAAAAATGTCACTATTTGATTAAAAAAATCCAAACACAAACAAGTTTATGAGGATGAAGGATATGTCTTGACCGTGTGTGGAATGTCATGTACGTCATGTTGCAACAAAATGTTTTCTTTTTGAAACCTTCGCCGTACAGAGAGGTTATGTGACGGATTTTTTTTTGGAGCATAAGTAAATGATGTGACTTCTTTCGTTCTTGCTAAAATTAGGATACACAAATTATTTACCAAATAAACTTGAGATATCATAAAATTTATTTCATTGTTTAATTTCTTGATTAAATGTTACAGAGATTAAAAAATGAAAAATATATAGCTACTGTCTAGGAAAAAAGTATTATATGAGCCACAGTTCTTTTCTTAAAAGGAAATAATGAAGGAAAAGTCATTATGTTTTAGTGACGGTTTGACTAAAGTGGTAAAATAAGGAGAGATAATTTTGTATTGACTTTCCAAAAATATCCTTGATGTGATGGATAAAACTAGGATGTGCTATGTAGATTATTTAGAAAAACATATGATGTGATAGGTAGAGTATGAAAATGACTAAAAGTGCTACTTTGGGAAAATAAAAACATATGATGCTATTTGGGGAAATTCATTACGGAGTATTATTAATCTAGTGCTATTTAGATAAATTCCCCATATATTATTGGATCCCCCCCAACAACCCTCTATCCATATGGAATTGTTCTTCATGTATTGACTTGGTACACTTATTTACGAGTAAAAAAAGTATTTTCTCCATCCTACAAAACTCTTGTCCTTTCCTTTTTCATCCATCTCAAAAAATCTTTCTCTTTTCTATTAAAAAATTACTTTTACCCATATTAATTCTTAATCTACCTATCACATCATACTTTTTCTCTATTAATCTATCTATCACATCCTACTTTATCCATCATATCAAAGGGCATTTTTGAAAAATCAACACTAAAATATACTCCTCTTAAATCCATTAAAAGTCAAAATGAAAAGTTTTTTACGGGATGGAGGGATTATTAAACTTTCAAGAATGTAAGCTAAAAGAAGATATGGGAATAATATTTTCGATCAAACTGAAAGGTAAAGTGAAAGATCATTTCCGGAGGAATAAGTATACACAAACACTAGAACAAGTTGTTCGATTCGTAAAGTAAAGACCTCATTACTATTGTTATGGTCTTGAACTGGTTAATTATTTCTCCCTTCAATTCTTCGACTCCAAGACGTGGCTTTTAACCTAATCAGGGGAAGGAAAGTTTATATACACACACACCGACATATTCTATTTAGGGTTAGGGCGGCTACATGACGCCATTTTTTAATTTGTGGTTTTTTTTTATTGTGGGCCCATGAAAACAGTCATGTTGTTTGTTTGGGATCCTAATTTTTACTCCGTAATTTTTTTTAAATACTTTTATATTCTTTTTACACTTTAAAAATCAGATGTGGACCGAACATGAGGTTAATATTTTGCCCATATATATGGGCAGGTCTAGGGTTGTAAACGAACCGAATCGAATCAAATATTCATGAAAAATATTCATATTCGTTAAGATATAGTGATATTCGACTTCGAATTCGAATTTGGTTCGAATATTTTTTTAGATTCGTATTCGGTTCGTTTAATATATTAAACATATTCGGTTCGTTTAAATATTCGATTCGTTTAAATATATTCGGTTCGTTTAAAATTATTCAATTCATTTAGATTTTAAAATATTTTATAACCATTTGATATATATATATATATATATATGTATATATATATATATATATATAATTTATATAATTAGATTTATATTCCGAATATATTTGTCAAACTCACGAATCGAATACCCTTGATTCATATTCGTATTCGATAAGGATTCGAATATTTATTCAGATTCGTATTCGTATTCGGATTTGTAAAAATCGAATACGAATCACCTTAAACGAATACGAATCACGAATCGAACAAAAAATATTCGATTCATTTACGTCTCTAGGCAGGTCAAGTCCAAAAATTCAGGCCAACATTATGTCTACATCCGTCTTTGAGGCTGATCCGACCGGACCACAGAGAGGCCCAGCCCCGAATCTTTTTATATACCACATAAAAAATTAATCAAATTATATATATACAAATACTCCGTATTTGTATACAAAACTAGTATCACACCCGTGCGCTGCGCTGCACGATTTGTATTAACGTTATAAATTTATGTTGGCATTATTATAAAAGTAAATAAGTACACCATATAATGAAATATAATATTTTTTGTTTATGTAAAACATTAATATCATATAAATTACAAATTCTGGAAAACTTCTTTATAAACTACATTAATAGTACATCTTGTGGAAACATGCTATGCATTGTCAATAAGAATCTTTAAGCTATTACGATTTGTTATTTTTGAAACAGCAACATATGATTGTCCATGACTAAACACTGGTTTCTGTTATTATAATAATCTGACATGTTCCTTACACATTTGGTCAAAGTAATCGTCCGCTTCAATAGTTTCATACTTTGAGATAATTGACTTATCCCGAATAAGGTCATACACTCCATAAGAATTATTCCTAACATAATCAGACTAATTCTCGATATCTCCCTTTACAAATACATTGAATAGAGCACTCTCATGAATTATTCTGATAATCTCCTTTGGAATCTTTCTTGGGTCATCATGTCGTTATATTATCCATGGATATAAATTATTACATTAAGTCAAGCAACAATCTTTTTTGAAAATATCAATTAAAAACATTTTATTAGAATTTCAATACCTCGTAGACCAAGATTTTCATCATGCTAGCTTGCATACCGAAAAGGTTCACACATTTTTTATCCCAAAGTAATAAAGAAGTACTGTCTGAGTTGTCTATAACACATACGCTTACCTTGTACCTAATAAATAGAATATCATTTTTATTAAAATTTTAAAATGTTGTAAATTTATTTAATTAAAAAATATAAATGATATAACCTATACACTTCATCGAGATAATATCTCTTGCATTTCTTGCATTTAAATCACAAACCATTTGGAATAAATTTACTGTTGCATGTCTTACAATCAAGGTAGCACCATTCAACTGTGCTTTCAATCTCAACCACACCATCAATTATCTAATAATGTCCGTTCTACAAATAATAATAAATATATTATTAAGGAAAATTAGAATAAACATTCCTCTTTATTTTCATTCATATATTGTAGGGCTTTGGATAAAATTTTAACGGTGTATATTACTTTAAAACGCTAACCTCAAAAGCTGCCTTTAGATAGCTTTTTCAAAATGCTAATGATGGTCACTAACGCTATTCCCAAACAGACCCAATATTAATAGCTTCCTTTTCTTTTTTTAAAGAATAATATTAAAAATAGTAATATAATCAGTCTAGATTTTTTTTTCAATTCTTTACTTTTTTAATATGTTCCCATAAAAATAAAATTTCTTTGTTATTTCTTTAATTTTTTAAATTTGTTCCCATAAAAAATATGGTTTTGTCTTTCCTTTTTAGTTCTGTTTGCATTGAAAACATATTATATTTTAAAAATAACCTCCTTTGCTTTTCTAAGTAATAATAATAATAATGTCATTGGTCCTATAATTCTTTTTTGTTAATTCTTTACTATTTTTAATGATTTCTCATTAAAAAATATATTTTTTAAATATAATTTATGTACTAAAGTAATCAAAATTTTAAAGAATAATAATAATAATAATAATAGCATCGGTCTTATAATTCCTTACTTGTTAATTCTTTAATTTTTTAATTTATTACCATAAAATTGGTTATTTCTTTATTTTTTATTTTTTTTACATTAAAGACAGACTCTAGTTTAAAAATAATTTCCTTTTCTTTTTTAAAGAAGAATAATAACACTAATAATATCATCGATCTGATATTTTGTTTTTTGTTAATTCACTCTTGTTTACAAATAATTTCTTTTTCTTTTTTAAAAAGAATATTTTTCATGTGCTAAAATAATCATGATTTTAAAGAATAACAATAACAACAACAGCAATAGCATCATCGATCCTATATTTTTTGATGTATTCCCATTAAAAAAATATGATTTCGTCTTTCCTTTTTAATTTTGTTCACATTAAAAACATACTATTATTTAAAAATAACTTCCTTTGCTTTTTCTAAATAATAATAATAATATCATCAGACCTATATTTCTTTTTTGTTAATTCTTTACTATTTTAATCAGATCCCATAAAAAACACAGTTTTAAATATTTTTCATGTCGAAAAAGTAAGATGTGATAGTTTGGTTATTAGTGAAAAAGTATGATGTGATAGGTAGGATATGAAAAAGTAGGGGTAAAATGGTTTTTTAATAGAAAGTGGAAGTGTTTTGTGGAAAGCAAAAAAATGAAAGAGGAATGGTTTTGTAGAACGGAGGGAGTATGTCTTTTCCCAATGTAATACTTAAATTTTTTATTTTCTAATTAAATAGTACTTCAATAATGTCTAGTACCAGGAACAATGTCCAATCACATTGGACATTTAGTTTGAACAATGTCTAATAGCGATAGGCATTTACTTGAACTTAACTACTGGACATTGAACAATGGTACACATTGAAAAATAAAAACATGTAGTACTTTATTGAGAAAATTATTACTCCGTATGTTTTAGTACTGTTTAGGTAGATTCTCTGAATAGTTATGATGTGATAAGTATGTTAATAATTAATAGGGACAAAATATAAATATTTAAATTGAAAGCGAAAGTGTTTTATAAAAAGAGTGAAAAATAAAAGTGATTTTTTTGTAGGATGGAGGGAGTAATTTCTACTAGTTAAAATTAAACTAGTTCAATTTGAATTGATTGAATTTTTTAAAATATACTTATTTTAGGGAATTTATGTTTTATATTACTACTTTTTTTTGAACAAATGCACATCTTTTATTCCAACTCAAAAGCGAACCATGTGAGAGTTCCCACATCGGAAAATAAAGACGAATATCACTAGCATAGAAAGAATGGTCAAGCCTTACCTATCAGCTTAAGCTTTAAGGTTAGAATAGTGGATCCCAACTTTATATGCAAGTGGTTAATTTTACCCAATACTCTACCCATTGTTCTCGGCCCGCCAAAATTTTAACATGGCATCGGAGCAGGTCCGGTCCGAGTTCAATGGTTCCTAGTTGTTTGGATGTTGGTTTAGTAAAATGAGCTACTCCTCCATGGTTTGGGTTGAGTTTTCTATATATAAGAGAATGAGAAGCCACCGCTCGTTGTGTGGGCTAGCTACTATAAGAGACTGAGGGAGGTGTATTCAATCCGGATTCTGATAGATTTTTTTGGATTGTGAAAATCCGTAGGTATTCAATTCAGAATTTAAAAAGTCATTTAAAATATAGGTGTATTCAATTCAAACTTTAAAAAATCTTTCTAAATATGATGGTATTCAAAAATTGATGGATTTTTAAAGATTTTTAAAATTGTGGATTTTGATGGATTTTCTTGCCTTGGGTATAAATACAAATTCAATTTCCAAATCCAATCAAAAGCCCTGGGATTTTGCCTTCTCATCTCGTTCTTCATCTTCTCTTGCGTTCGTCTCTTCTGCCAAGTCGCCGGAGCTCGGAACCCCGACGGAAGGCCTTCCTCGGCTCTGCACTTCGCTCTACTATCGGGTGTTGTTGGCCGCTGCAGTCCTATCGCCGAGGAGGTTGCCATCGTCGCCGAGGAGGTCGTCGTCGTCGCCGAGGAGGTCATCCTATCGCCGAGGAAGTCATCTTGTTTGCCATAAGAAAGCTGGGAGGAAGACGGAGGAGAAAAAAGAAAAGAATAGAAAAAGAAAAAAGGAAAGAAAAAATAGAAAATGAAATGGGTTGGAAGAAGCAGTGCGGCGGCTAGGGTTTCATGGGGGAAGGAGGAGAAAAAAGAAAAGAAAAAGAAAAGAAAAAAGAAAAGAAAAATGTAATCCTATAAAATCCTTTGACAGAATACATCACAATCTAATTAACTCTGCGTAAACTTAAAACAATCCAATGAACTTACAGAATCTATGGATTCTAAATAATCTATCAAAATCATTTAAAATCTAAATTGAATACACCCCCTGAGATACTAGATATGTTTGTCCAAGCGCTAACTAGGTTAGGCTAGTTACCACTTGAGGAGTAGTATTCGAGTTCTCACATTGGAAAATAAAGACAAGTACCACTAGCATAGAAAGAAAGGCAAAGCCCTACCGATCAGCTTAAGTTTTTGGTTTAGAATAGTAGATCTCGACTTTAAGCTCTACCCATTGTTCTCGGCGTGCTGGAATTTTAACAAGACAGTTTACAAAGACAAATATATAGCATAGAAGGGCAGTGCTAACCTACAAACACAAGTTAGCGCCACAAATCTTTCAATTCCTCTCCAAAAAAGTTGCAGTGTGAAACCAACTCTAGTTAAACAAATTCTATCCATGGGTAGATACTTGGTCATGAATCAATTTGTTCCTTGCCTTTCATATGCAATAACAGGTAGAAGCACAACCATTAATACAATTTTGTCTTCTCCTCCCATTAAGCACCATAATCTTGTTTCTGATTTTTTCAGCACTACTCCCATCAATGTTGTAACTCGACCAATCGGAAACTCTCTTCAGTAAGGCAATGGTGAAAAAGCTGTTGGAAAACAAATGATCAATCTCTTTCTCGCTCTACATTATTACATAGATCACAAGTTTTCTCTATATCAATGAGCCTACCAACACCCTAATAATAGTATTCATCCTGCCCATATAGATGAGCTAAATAAAAAAATGGTGTTTTGAACATGTCAACTTATTCCAAACAAAGGAAGTCTAAGCTATATTGTTCTTCAACTCCAATAACCAAGTGTACCCCTCCTCTGTGGTATATACTTTAGTTTTGGGCATCAGTTCAAACCACTTTTTATTATCTACAAATCTTTTTTTAGTAAAAACGGTTGTCTCCCCTCAATTTGTAATTATCCATGCCACATCTTCTTTTATGTCTCTCATGAATCTACTTACCCCGATTTTATGTTTTTCCCTCGCTACGTTCCACTAGTAATTGCAAATAAAAGCCCTGTGTGTTCCATAACACTATATTAATCAAGCTCAATCCTCCATATATTTTGGATAATTATACATCTTACTAATTAATCATAGGGTTCTTGGAATAGTTCGTTAGTTGTAGCCCCTCAAAGAAAATTTCTACATGTGCCTTGCACATTCCTCATCACCTTAGATGGATAATGAAAATTGACTCCTTTGGACACGCCAAACAAGACATAATTAATCAATTGACTCTATAAGGACATTCATTTCATTGACACCTCCAAAAATAATTTGTGACTTATTATGAAAGATACTCAGCCTTGTAGTCCTTTTGAATATCCTCAGAGTTCCCATAATATAGCTAATGGATTTTCCTCAAGCTTGCATACAATGATCAAGTCGTCTACAAAGCTGAGATTGACCAACTTGAGGGACCTGCACATTGGATGAAACTGGTGAAGTCCTTGTTCTTAGTCATTTGTTGAAGAAGTATGCTCAAGTATTCCATTACAGGGATAAAAAGCAAGGGGAAGATAGGATCCCCTTGTCTTAGTCCTTTATTCCCTTTGAAATGCCTATATAGTTTTCACCACTAATCTGTATTGAAAAAGTAGGACTGATGATACACGACCCAACCCAAGCTACAAACTAGTGATGAAAATTCTACAGCTCCATGTAATCCGTACTACCCAACCTCCCAACTCACACTGTCATACGCTTTCCTGATATCTAGCGTGATAAGGTACCTTGAGTCCTTGACTACCACCTTCCCATAGTAAATTCTTTTATGACTTTTAAGTTTATACTTATTATATGAACTTTGAAACATAAAATGATTAAATATATTGGGTAAACAAAATAAATTCAACTGCAAACTCATAAAAAATACACGAGAAGTTCCACACACTACATATCCATCTTATGACCCCATGATATCACAACTCCCTTCCTCACTACTTACCTTCGTTCATGGGTATTTGTCCAATTTTGACTTTTTCAGTCAATCATTTTTAATCTTTGACTTATAATAAAATAAATTATAATATGTTCTATATTAATTAGATAAAATATTATTTTAAAAATATTTTATATAAAAAATCAAATAAAATTATATTTATATCAATATCTAATATTAGTTTATTTAATTTATGACAAAAGTTTACTAATTTTGATTGAACAAATTTAAAAATGAACGGAATTAATACTCCCTCCGTCCCAAAATATAAGCAACACTCCACTATTTAAAAATCACGGGAACTTTTATTTATTTTTGCATTTTCATTGATTATTTGATAGAATAAAATATTCTTGTCACTACTTGTTTTGTAGAACTTTTGACGTAGTTTTTAAATATGTAAGTTTTATTTTTCATTTGTAGACCATTCTTTAAATAAAATGGATTGAAAAATTCAAAAAATTACTTCGTTTAGCGTAATGTTGCTTATATTACTAGACAAATAAAGTTTTTTCTTAACTATTAATTAAACATTTTAACCATATTATAAACTTTAAAAGATCTAAGAATATAAACACCACTAACTAATCCTAATATAGAATTATATAACATTAAAAATTGAAATGAGTAGTTAACATATTTAAATAAAAAAAACTTTGATGTTATAATGAAAATGAAAGTATTATATAAAAAAATCTAATTCTCTGCAATTGATTTTACATACGATATCTTTAAGATTATTTAGAATCTTCTAGATGTTTGTTAGGCACTTGACACATATTTTGTACTTCCTCCGTCCTCCATAGATCTTCCCAATAGCCCTTTTTCTTTATCCACAATAGATCTTCTCATTTCATTTTTTAACAATTAAAATACCACAACTACCCACCACTTTATTTATTACACCTCACCCACCTCGTTTAATACACTCCTCCCATTTTTCATTAAGGATATTATGGTAAATTTCACCTTTTTTCAACTCTCCTTAAAAACCACCAAAAGTCAAAATGAGAACATCTTATATAAAATTGAACCAATGAGAACACTAACCTTCCGCTCGGCTTTTTGTGTGTGTAAAAATCAAGCAAAAAAACCAAACCCAAACTTTTGTATTGTTATTGCTTTGTCGAGTTAGTATTTATACAATTTTTACTGCTTATAAATATTTACTTTTATAAACCGAAAAAACCGAAAAAAACCAAGATAAAAACCGCATAAAACCGAACCGATTAACCAACGGTTTACATATTTTTTATGCAAAACTGAACCAAACCACCAACTTACCTTCCATTTTGTCTTTGGTTTTGAGTAAAAACCCCAAAACCGAACTCACCCCTAAATTTCACCCTTCCATAGTAATGAAAAAGCTGTGTCAAATGATTGACTATCCTAGTTTAACGGCATCGGAGGGCAGATGGACGCCAACGGAAAGGCGGCTTTTTAGCAATCACTTTTGCAAATTATTTCTCTCTTAATTCCTTTCTTTTTGATCCGACTCTTTCTCTCCCTCCCTTTTGTTTTATCAATCAATTTCTCTATCTTTTTTTCTAGTTGTTTCTTGTACGTCTCTCTCCATCTTTGAACAGTCAAATTCTCTTTCTCTCTCTCCCTCCATTATTGTCGACAAGGAAGATCAGGTAAGGGGAGAAGAAGACATTTTGTTGCATTTCAGCGATTGTTTATTTTGATTTTTTTAATATTTTCTCCTGTGATGATTATTGCGTTGATCAGTTTATTGATCGCAGCCATTAAATTGAATTTGATGTTTATTCCGCAATGAGATTTTCGTTCTGGATTGCCCTTGACCTCTGCTCTGTGTTTGTTTGGATCGTCGATGATGGGTTGTTTTAGGTCAAACACTCAAATTTCGTTTGCGATTTCCCCTGCTGCGGGTGCATGTGCTATCCTTGAATAGGTTTTGCTACTCATAGGTTGAATCTGAAAGGGAGATTCAATTTTGTTTTTTGTCTTTTTTTTTTCCATAGTCAGTATGGAAACAGATTTAGATTTATTCACCTTTTTACTTTTTATTGGAGTGGCCCTGTGGGTTGTTGAGGGTTCCCTTTCATAGAATTCCTAGCTGTGTGTAAGAGTTTATAGTGCTCTATATATATATATACATCCTTGTGCCTAAGCCGGGCTGCTACCTAAAAAGGCCCCAAATTTTGGTGTGCAAAGGTGGAGCTCACCGTCGACTGTGGTTATTCGGTTGGTGCCCCACAGCTGAATATGGAGAAAGAAAATGAAGAGTGCTCGTTGACTAAGCTAAAACCTAAAATAAAATAAAGATGGGGTCTTGGGCTTATCTTTCATTTCATCATTTCCTTTAATTTATTGCAGAGTTGAGCTCTCATTTTATTGAAATATGTATCAGAAATAAACTGATTTAACGGGCTAGAAAAGTCTTTCTGATATATGTGTGGGGGTAACTCATCTACTACAAACCTTAGGGCCAAAATGTAACATTTGCGCACGGCCTTCAGAATCTCATGACTGATGCTGTTTATTTGTTAGTGTGTGCATTTGCTTGATTGTATGCCTTAATAGAAAGATATGGAGTACTAAATTGGTGTGCTCTTGTTTATAATTATGATAAGCAAATGATATTGTTTCCGGAAGATGGGTTCCCTTGCATATCTGTTCAATCCTGTTAATGTATCTGCTATAGTCTTGTTAGTATGTGGCAAAATAGCCTGTTTAAAATAGTTGAATATTCAGTACAAAATTAAGTATCCAACCATCTATCATTTATTTTGAGTTGTGCAATTTCCGCACCCCTCCCCCCTGTATGTAGTTGCCAATGTTATCTTTTAGGTTATATTAGATCTCCTAGCAGGGATATCTTTTCAAACACAAGTTTATTAAAAAAAGTAGGATTACTAGTAGAAAAATTAAAAAAAAGCTTGTATTTTACATCTCAGATGGTCCTAGCAGGGATATCCTTTCAAACACAAGTTTATTTCAAGCTCTTATATTTATTTACCAAATCGAACTAATGGCTTTTTTGAAGCTTAAAATAAACTGAAGCTTCCAAATATGCTCTACCAAGTATACCCCAGATTCTGTTTAGCCACTAAAGATAAATTATTTTCAAGCTCTTTTAACTAACTCATAAGTACACATATATACACATTTCTTTTCCAATTGTGTTGTATTCTGCACCTTGTGGTAATGGTAGATCCAGATATTAATGAAGCAAGTTTCCGAATTTTGCAGGAGCAAGCAGTGGATGATGCATACGAATGAACTTTCAGGTAAAAAACCCATTAATGGGCCCCTCTATAAAAGAATAGGTTCCAGAGATGCCTCCAAGGGTATGGATAAAAACATTCAGCTTTGCCCTCGAAGTGGATGTAGCGGAAGGCTCAACTATACTAGGATGGGATGCACTCCAAAACCCTACCCTTCAAGGCAAATTTTGAATCCTTCAAATGGCAAGGAAGTTGTTGCTAGTTCGTCAAGAACCTCTCCCCTTACAAAGAAATCAGACATGGAATATCAGACAAAAGCCTCCTCCCACACAAACTCTGATGATTTTGAAGCTAAAGCTATTCAGGATGCGACGGTGGTTAAAGATCAAATACATTCATCAAGAAACACCGAGTCTAAGAAAAGTACTGTTTTGGAAACGGGTTGCTCCAGTGGATTGTCAGATATAAAGAACCATCAAAAGCCTCATTGTAATAACCACAAGAGTGTCAATCAAGATAATTTGAGACCTAGTAATGTTCGCTTTGGGACTAGGAGTAAACCTACTACCGTTGAAAATGGTTATCGAAATCCCAAACTCAGTCCAACATCATTTCCCCTTCCACATTCATCACAATCACGATTCATGAAAAAGAAAAGCTCTGAAAGTGAGAGTAGTAGTGCATCTTCTTCTGTACGGAATAGATCGAGTAGGTCATTCTCAAAAGAAGGCCGTGGGGGGCTTAACAATCGTGGGGTCTTAATTTCTGGTGTTAATCAGGTTGTTTCGAATAGGAATGTGAACTCAAGAGTGAGAGCTCGTGATCAAGATAATAATGGGAACTCGCGATTTCCACAGCCTAAAACATCAAATTCCCATACGTTCAATTCATCATATTTGTTCTCAGCAAGCACTTCTTCAAGTGAATCTAGCTCTTACAATTTTCCTCGCAATGATGGTGGTGATACAATACAAAGTTTATTGCCCTTCCCATCTGCAGACTTTAGCATCGGTCAGTCAAATAATCATGATGACTTGTGGAGATATAACATGGATGAAATTTCTGGGGTAGGTTTCGTTTCAAATCTAAATTGTTTTCTTTGGATTTAGTATGCCTGGTGGTTTACAGTTTCTAGCTTGCAGGCATTGTTACAGCTTGAAAGAATTGAGCAGGATGAAGAGTTAACGTACGAGGTAACCAATATTGGATGTTTTAGAGGAGTGGGTTAGTTTAATCAATATCAGCGGGATTTTCTGATCAGTTTGTTTGTCCTTGCAGCAACTACTAGCACATGAAAGCAATGTTTTCTTCAACGGCATGAGCTTCTACGACCACCATAGAGAAATGAGGCTGGACATTGATAACATGTCGTATGAGGTCAGTTATATTTTTCAGTTTGATGACCTTAATCTCAAATATGTTGGAGCAGGTATTGCCAATTAGTTGTCTAAGATACTGTGACTAAGTTTTACACCTGAGGCCATTTCTCAGCAGTCTAAAGAAGGTAGACTTATTCCATTTACAAAGTTATTTTTTACAAAAAAAAATGACCTTGGAGACCTTTGCACCCCACAAGGCCTTTAGTTTTGTGTTTGCATTTGATGCGGTTTAGCTAGGAGCTGAGCACAGATTTGAACACATCATAGATTTATTTGAACTAGTTCCAATTCCAATTTAATAAATTATGTGTGTAGGCGCGCGCGAGCTGAGTACATATTATCGAAATGACTTATAAACTGGATCCCATTAATTGTTGTTCATTATGTTGAACATGCCTAGAATCGTCACGGTTAATGTCTGCAGCGAATGGATTTGTTTCCTCTATAAGAAAATGCATAGTTGATTTAATAATTGTATTAATTCCTCTTGCTTTTGGAAACATTATCTTTGCCTTTCTAGGTAGGGGTGAGGTCTGTGTACACCACCACTACCACTCTCCCATTAATACCCCCATTCGTGGGATTTTACTAGGTCGATTGCTTCTGTTAATTTTCTTATTGCTTCTCATAGGAATTACTGGCTCTTGGGGAGAGGATGGGCACGGTAAGCACAGCTCTTTCAGAGGAAGCAATGTCAAAGTGCCTTAGTAGAAGCATTTATCAGGTTTCTTTCAAGGAAGTCGGTGTTGCTGGATTGAAAGGGGATGAAGATGACAGTAAATGCAGCATTTGCCAGGTACTGCATTATCATGTCCAAGCTTCACACAGCTGTACATTGCTGATGATTATTACATTAGCTGTACAGCTGCATTGGGGTTGGTGTCAATTACTCCGTAATTGTCTAATTCTTCATATTTGTTATATCAATTTCCATTCTGGAGTACGAGTTATATTTAAGGACCTTTTTATCCCAAAACGTTATCTTACATATGTTTTACCAAAAGAAGATCTTTGTTTTTTCAAATTTTCCCTTTAAAAGAATCGTGAACAATTTAAATGTGATAGATTTAGTTAGAAGCAGAAAGTAAAACAAAAACTATATGCGGTGTAATCATATAAGTATGACTAATGAATTGAAACTGTTTCCCCTAACAAAGATCTAAAAGTTTTACGTTAATCTAGTAGAACTTTTTTTTAAGGAAGTATTGCTGAATAATTATAAGAAGCATAATGCTGATGTTTGGGACAGATGTCCTCCCTGATGCAGGAATAATAGGATAAAAAAACTGAAACCACAATTATCATATGTTTTTCACTAGGAATTGAAATATCTTCTAATGGTGGGTTAGTTGAGATAGATCTTATAGTCATGACCCATTACAAGATTGATATCATAAAATCCTTAGGTACAAAATGTACAATAACGACACAATATTAAAATATAGAGTGAAATTCTATTATACTCCCTCCCTTCTCATTAAAAGAGCCCTTATTGAGTTACAACTTTTTAGTTTTAGTAAGGTACAACTATCAAAAATAAAAATTCTAGTTAATTAGCTATATATTTAAAAAAACTCTTAGTTTAACTTAGAGCTAGCAATCAAGTTGGTCTAGTCAAGTTTAGGTTCAGAACTTGTAGGTTCAGATTACATCGGGTGCGAGTTGCTCTGGGTTCGGGTCAGAACAGTTTTGTTCCTGACACTCGGTGTGTTAAGGCTCAGCGCGTTATGGGCATTTATTTTTAAAATATTAAAATCTTCTGGACTTGTATATTACATAAGAATGTACTAAAATATTAAAATGTATTAGTCAAACAATTTTTGTAATTTTAATGAGTTTTTTAGACTAATATTAAATTATTATTAATAGCTTGCAACTTTCAAATTTATGCAAACTTTTAAAAACTAGAATACCAATAAAATACTGTAAAAACTCATTAGTAAACAAAAATGTATACATTAAAATGTACATTATTTAAATTTTTTTACCAAAACACGTCTGTTAGGTCGGTTTTTGTCACATTTGACCATTTTTTAGCTCGTTGCTTTGGGTTCGGTCATTTTCGGGCTTGGGTTGCAAAATCCTTGTTCAAAACCCCCAGGATGGGTCTCAGGTGATTTTTTCGCTAGTTCTAAGTCACTCAATTTGACATATTTAACTTGTTTTGGATACTTGTTTACTAAATAAAAAGCATTGGATATAAAAAAAATGAGCTTTTCATTCAAAAATTAGTCACCATCTCTAAGATTCGTTTTCCTGGGACGGAGGAATTATACAGTGTAAAAGACTGCAATTTGGTAGTCCAATTAGTTCCACGAATATCATTTCACTTTCATATTTGTTTCTGAACATCCTCTTGGGTCTCGGGTCTTTATATGCACGCAAGCCCTTCAACTTTTCAAACCAGCCCGTGTTTGATCATAGTTGCAAAAATAAACGTGAGAGAATATTAGATCGATTTCTTTTCATGTGTGCAGGAGGAGTATGTGTTTGAGGATGAGATTGGGAAGTTGGAATGTGAACACAGGTATCATTTCGGGTGCGTTCAACAGTGGCTAAGGATGAAGAATTGGTGCCCTATCTGCAAGGCTTCTGCAGTTTCATCACGGCCCTCTACGCCGCCGTAGTTCAAACCAATGGGGTAACTACTTCTCAGATGGACTATAAGTTCATTTTGCTCTTGTACATACTTTTTTTTTTGCTTCACTCAAAAACAATTTTTTTTAGAAGCTTAAGATTTCAATAAAATGGTCACATGTGCCCGGGGCTAATTGCTCTGCGGTGTAGACTTTTACTAGTTCTGTAAGTGTTGATGTAATAATAATTAATAATACTACGTAAGTAATAGTAATAATACACATTGCGCAATAGTATTTAGGTTATAGCCAATAATTTTTTTTAGTTATATTGACTCGATTACAAGGTAGTATCTCTTCATGACAATAATTGTTTACTACATGGAAATTTATTCTTTTCCTAATTCTTTGGGTTACACATAATCGTATTGTCCTCTCCATAGATTGGGTTACTCGAGCCAGAGGTGAGCGTAGTTTGGCGTGATAGACTAGGCCATGTCAATCCAGCATCTAGCCATAGTGGCCTTGAGCCCCTAGGCTAGGCTTTGAAAACAAGGGTGAATCCCATTTTATGGTCCTCCCTAGACTTGGCAAAATTGAACTGGACTCGATAACCCGAACCGAATAATCCAGAATTGAATCCGAAATGACTCGAAAATTCAAGAATAGAATTAAACCCGAACACCTGAAATGATCCAAATCAAACCGAAACCGAATTGAATTTATTCAGATCCGATTCAAATACAGATCCGATTGAACCTGAACCAGTTAGATTCGAATCGTTTAAACTCGGATCCAATTAGACTCAAAATCGATTAAACCGTAAACTAATTAGACCCAAAAATTGATTAGAGCTGATATTGATCAAGTTCAATACAAATGAAACTCAAATTCAAAAAAACCTATTAGTTCATTGGTTGATATCTTTCTAAGAAAAGCATATTTGAATTATAGGTAACTTTGATTTAATGTATAAATCTTTTACTGCGTATTTTATCACTTAAAAAGGTTGTCTATTTTTATAGAGAGTTTATGTAATTTATAGTGACATCATAACAGACATTAATAGATATACTAGCTCACTTTTGCTGACACTTGTATATATACTCCATTTACACATAGGGAGGAGAGGCTAAATACAATGCTAACATTAGAAACTCTAATACCAAGAGATCTCATTTGAAATTGGTATAAATTCGAATCAATATAAATCCGAATCGTTATAAACCCGAAACAATATAAACTCGAACCAATATAAACTTGAATCGAAATCGATTCAAAATCGTGAAGAAATAATTTAATCCGAAACTGAATCAACCCAAACCAATTATAACATATATTTGAAAAAGACTTAAATCGGAAACAAACCGATTGACCTAATTGCCAGGTTTATATTGTGTTTGATATGGACCGAAACCATTGCAAGATATGAGACTTGTCCCACATCAGTTGTATGGGCAATTGATGTGAGGTTTATAGGCCAAATGTGTTCTCTCACCTATCAGACTAGTCTTTTGGGTTGAGTTCTTCCGTTTGGTACTAACAGTGTTGTCTCATGGATGGCTCGCCCTGCCGGAAAGGAGGTGATTAATTGAATAATAGAGAGTATAGTCTATTTATCTAACGTATAAGGATCCTAGAACAGAAACATGTCGTTCTTTGTCACTCTTGCTAGGAGTTGAATCCGTTCTATCCGTTTGGTCATTATGCTATTTTGTACTTATTAACCAATTAAAAGCAACATCCCAGCGGCTCTGGAGAAACTTGCATGGGAGAACTAGTAAACGCATATATACACATTCACTGCAAAGTTGTAACCAATGGTTGTTACTTGTTAGGGCATCCTCAATGCAAAGTTTTGAGACTCTTTTAGACTCTGTCATGTTAGGATTCTATTGTTTCAGAATTTTCTCCAAGACATTCGGAAAAGTTACCATAATTCTCAGTCTTTCAAACTTTGTCACATCAGTATTTCACTATAGTTTATTCTATTAACTTTTATTTCTATTTAATTAGTTATCTAATATATAATTGTAATATACATTTTTCTACCAAATTTGTTTATAAATATAATTAATCATTAAAAAATCAACATAAAATTAAAGAAAATTATATAAAATTAACAAACATAAAATACATAAAATAAAACTAGGGCATTTCATTGAAGTCCTTTAAGTAAACACACAATATATAAATTGCATAAAATAAAATTAAAAGCAAAAAAATAAAAATTATGTAAGTAGACATAATTAAAATGCTAAATCGCTCCATTTTGGTTGATTCTTAAGAGAATGTCAAACATAAAAATTTTAAATATGAAATTGCATTAAATAAAAGTTACACTAAATAAAAATAAAAGCACAACAAAATAAAAGTATATAAGTAGACATAATTGACAATGGTTTTTTTCAATTGAGAAGATTGGTTTTTTTATTACAAAATAATTGTAATTATTTTTTGTTATTGAAAATAATTGTTATTGATTACACGTGTCTGATTTTTATTAGATTGATTGAGTTGGAAGTCTTAAAAATGAGTCTGGGAATTTCAAGACTCCTTCCAGACTTTTCTCATTTTCTGAACACCCCAATAGTAAAGTCTAGAGAAAAGAGTCTTAAGTCTCTCACTTAGATTCTCTCAAGACTAACATTGGGATGTTCTTAGTTTTCACTACTTGTGATCTCATTTTTAAAACGTCCTTTTAAACAATTAATTTGAGAAAGTTTTATGGTAATTATTCCTTTTGTTATACTAGTAGTATACTTGTCCATTTATTTAAATATAAATTAGAAGACTTCGAGTATTAATTACAGAATAAATAAACCACGGATTTCAAGTAGAGTTAAAGAAATATGGCACACAAACAAGACATAATGAGTATTTTGTACTATAATGGAATCGACGCCTGACAACTGCAATGAAAAGCAACCATGTATATGCATGATATAATACTCATGCAAGTGTCAAGGACGTGCCTCTCTTTCTTCACAAACTCGTACACAACAACAACAACAACCCAATTGGATCCCACTACAATAGGGTCTAGGGAGGGTGTGTGTACGCAGACCTTGCTCTTATTCGGAAGTAGGGAGGCTGTTTCCAAGAGACCCTCGGCTCAACCTGCACAAAAAACAATGAAATGAAAGTCCTGCAAGCAATAACAAAAGATTCCAATCAAACGCAACACACTACAAAATAACCTCTACAGCACCGAGCTCCTATCCAGGCTACTCTAATCCTAGTTTCTCCAAAGGTTCCTATCTAAGGCCATATCCTCAGTCAGGGTGAGAAGTCCTAAATCCTGCCTAATCACCTCCTTCCAATTCTTCCTAGGTCTACCCCTAGGAAACCCATACACTATTATCCATATTATTTCATTCCTGTCAATCGTTAGGTCGGTCTTCCCAGAATTGCAGGGATGAAGTTGATTCTCTTTCTTTTAACATAGACAAGTATAAAAAACAAACATGTGTAACATGTGCATAGAAACACAAGTACAACTCACAAGGAAGAACACAACACATAGGGGAACATTTGAAATTAACAACCTTAACTTGATTTGGGAATATATTAATTCAAATGAATCATAGAAGACTATAAAAGGAACAAGAAAAATAAACGTTGCCTCGGACCATTCCTCTAAGCCCTCTTCAACGCTTAGTTCAACACTACAAATGATAGGTAGACACAAAAAGGAAATTGTGCATTTCCACATAAACAAATTAAAAAAGAAAATAAAAAAAATCATCATATCATCTAACGTAAACACTTACACAACTATGTGAGGTTCTTCTTAGATACATACTCTGTAAAAAAAATATACCTTAAAATTTGGAGTTCTCGAATGCTATTCCATGGACTTTAAGTCCATATAATAATATAATAATGCACGGATGTTCTCATATAATATAATAATGAGTAAAATTCCATAATTGGTCCTTTATAATAGGAGAGTTTCCCTACTTAGTCCTCTATTATCAAATATTACTTCAGTGGTCATTCTTTTATGGGCATCTTTCCACAAATAATCCTTTTTTTGATCTTCTATCATATTGGAGTTAATTTAAGGGCTAAAAGTGAAATTTTACAATGATAATATATCATTTTTGTCAAACACAATTCCAAAGGTTGTTCCGTTTTGTGTCGTTTGTGAATTACATTCGCTTTCTATTACAACCATAGTCTACAAATTTGGTCTTCTGTCGGACTCCTAGCCCACAATCATAGTCATAATTTTTGTGTTATCCGCTTAACCAATATCAGAATGTCACTAGACATAATGTTGATGTCAAATTATACTTTTAGCCTTTAAATTAACACCCAAATGGCGGAAGATAAAAAAGGACCATTTGTGAAATGCATCCTTAAAAAAAGGACTACGAGGATAATATTTGATAATAGAGGACTAAATACGGAAATCTCCCTGTTATAAAAGACCAATTATAGAATTTACTCTATAATAATGCACGAATGTTTATCATTATATTTTATAAATATTTTTGTACTTACTCCGTCTAAATTTAAGTTGCATATTCACTATTTACATGGTCAAAGTTAAACAACTTTTGTCACTCATTTTCAGTAGTCATTTGAAAATTATAGTCATGTCATCTCATTTAAAAACGGACAGTTTAAATGGACATGTCATCTCCTTTAAAAACGGACAGTTTAAATGGACACAGAGGAAATAGCTATTAAGAGTATTCATGATATCATAAGTGAACCTAAGAAAAAAGTAGTTTGAAGTCAACGGAAAAGTTGATCATCATCAAACCAAAACCAAAGTTCAATCACCCAAACCCCCACGAAAGATGAAATCGTGTCGGTGGGCGTTGAGCAATTGACATAGGCAGGAAGTGCTAAGGGAGAAAACCCAAGTTCGATTCCTGGCAACTGCCGTGGGAGGACCTCTGCAACTACCAAACGCAGGTTCAACTCCCAGTCACCAATCTACAATTAAATCTCAATTTACTTTCTCCAAGTGACCAACTGGCCGGGTCTAAGAGGACCCTCGAAAATGAGGCGCATCCCTTCTTTTTGGGTAAGATGTAATCTTAAATTGAAGATAAGGCCACTCGATCAAGGACCCCTCTCCTTCTTGAAGTACTAGTGTATATGCCAAAGGGACTAGACTAGAAATAGTAAATAACTTGGGTACCACATTGAGAAATTGGACAGACTGCAAGATTATTCAATAATTGGTGCGATTATAGATTTATCCAACTAGGATTGCTAGTATTTTTCTGTTGGTCCCGACACTACATGCACAATTATTGAATAATCCCGCAGTCGTGTCCAATTTCTCAATGTGGTACCCAAGTTATTTACTATTTCTAGTCCACTCCCTTTGGCATATACACAAGTACTTCAAGAAGGAGAGGGGTGCTTGATCAAGTGGCCTTATCTTCAATTTGTGGTTACATCTTTCCCAAAAAGAAAGGATGGTCACTGAGAGAAAGTAAATTGAGATTTAATTGTAGATTGGTGGCAGGGAGTGGAACATGCGCCTGGTACTTGCAGAGGTCCTCCCAGGTCACCAATGAGAATTATCAAGATTCAAGAGAAAAACAACTCTATTAGAATACTGCTGAGAATTGGTCTGTTTATACTTTGGTTTCCAGAAAAAATGCCATTTAACAGTCTATACAAATCAGCAAGCATAAAATATCAATCATCTGCCCTTAAAGAAAGCCTACAACTACAACCTGTGAGGTCTTAATTTACTCTCTTTATACTCAGAGCGTGTGGCGTTTTTGCCCTCTGAAGCACATCCTGCAAAACGGAAGCAATTCGCTCTTCCATGTGACGCTCCAGAAACACTTGTTTTACCCTCTCGTAGCCTTTCTTACCCATCGTGAGCCTCCTCTCAACATGAGAGGCAAGGTTGACCATGTTTCTGGCAAGAGGCATTATGCCCTCTTTTCCAACAGGGTGTAGCAAACCAGTTGTCTTGTTCAGAACAATTTCTTGTGTACCGCCAGCTGATGTTCCCTGCAATTCAGTTTTTTGCAAAATGGCTAACAGAGGCTTTCTTCCAAGCTATGAATATGTTATCATCTCAGGCATAAATGGAGGAATTTTTACCATCCTACCCTTTACGTGGTAACACCTAAAAGATTAGACATGAATGGGGGGAATATTTACCAACCATTGTCTAATCAATCATATCCACAAATCTATAACGTACTATTTAGCTTAGTGTTATTGAGGCATTTTTGTGAATTTTTAACTTTTTACAAACTGCGGAATGGAGTTGCATATGAGGATCAGTTGGGAGAATCAAATAGCAATTAGTCAATTACCAACACAGGAAGCTGAAAAGCCATGGCTTCAATGGTAATCCTACCAAAACATTCTCCCCGGCCCTGCACCGACACAAGTGTAAGAAAAAACAAGAAAATTAGAAAGTTCAAGTGCAGTTTTATACAGGAAGAAACAAAAAATGAGTTGTGCCAATTCTATTTTTGAAACTTGTGCATCCAACCAAAACCAAGACAGCAAAATAATACTATCTCTTAGAGCACTTTTTTATTTTTATTTTTGCAAAAAGATACGGGTCAACTGGCACTTAATCTAGTTGAGTCTCAATTCACTTGCGGAAACTACACAGGTTCTGTATCCCATGTTACAGAAGCAGAAAGAAAAACGTCAACTAGGCATGTAGCAATTTCTACAACAATGAGCATGAAATAGCATCCAAACATATGATGCATGTGCATGCATACAGGTTGCATGGGTGAACGATCTTTACGCTTCTCCTGGTATGCAATTGACTTGTTAAAATAAAAACCAAGGAATGGCTTGAAACACTTGGTAATGGATAGAAAAGAACATAAAATGAATGAAAAATATGACCAAATGAAAGACAAGGACAACCTACAGAATTCATGAGTTCATCACTGCCACTATCAGAAAAAGATGAGGCCATTTATTGCAAGTCGGCAAACATCAATCATATTAAATTCTTTTGTATTGTTAATTCATGTTCCTCAAAAAAATTAAAGCTGAACAGCAAACCAGGACAAGGCTAAAAGTTAAGCTTGTAGTTGTAATCCATGTTTTAAACTTGAACTGGCTCAGATGGAAAAGTGTGTTATGTTGGACCGCCATTCAATTGACCCATGTCTAACCGGCTCCAGCAGGCCGATTTTCAGGATTAAAATGGGAATCCATTGAAAAGGTCTTACTTTTTTATTTTGAGATGATTAGCCAGAAACTAAAATAATTCAGGCATGTGGGATTCACACAGAGGACCTCCATCTCGAACTCATGTGCTCACTACTCAACCCACTAAGTCATGCGCATTCCCCTTATTCCAAAACAAAAACTTGCATGTTTTCCTTTTTGTCTGTCCCAAAAGATGAGTTTGTTTCTATATTTGGATAATTTTTGTGTGATTTAAATTGTCTACTAAACTTCAACCAGACAGTTTTTACTTTACTAAAAATGTGTTCAGTCAAACTAGGCACAAATTGGGACAGAATGAATAGTTTTTTTTCAACTACACAATAAATCTAAGTATTAAATATACATCATTGTTATGTTCGATTATTCAAATATGTTTATAATTTGATACAGCACACAGACAAAAATATTTATCATAATAATGAGAAATATTTATGATAAATCATAAATATTACTCCCTCCTTCCCATATCTTTCTTCTCACTTTCCTTTTCGGGCCGTTCCATTTGATTCTTCCCATTTCCTTATTTCGTACATAAATTTTACTTAAAAGACTTATTTACCCCTTAACTTGTTCATTTTTTTCTCCCCCCATACCTAGTCATGCCTCTTTTATTTCTTCCTTTTTCTTCCCCATTTTCCTTTCGTCTTATCTGCTCCATTTTCATTCTTATCTTTTTTTAACAGTTTCCTCCTTGCCTTCATTTTTTCGTCTTTTCCTCCCTTTTTTGATGTTTCTCCCTTCTTTTTCCATCTTCATTTGCACAAATCATTTGATGAATTTGAAGAAAAAATGGCTAAAGAGGCAACAGCGAAGTGCGATGACGAAGCTTCTCCTCCGTTCTAGACTTCTTGTTTTTAGATCTTGTTTCAGATCTTATTTTTAAATTAAAAACCAAGCTTCTCCCAGATCTTAATTCTCCATTGATGCCCTTTGTCACTGCCGCACCGATGAAGCCTCCAAATCATAGAGGACAGAAGAGCGGATCAAAGATCAAAGCTTCTAGATTTGATTTTTTAAGATTCTCATCCCACTCAAGAATTTTCAATTTGGAAGAACATCAAAGATGATTTTTGAAACATTCTAGATTTGATTTTTGTTGAAAAAGATGAAGAGATTTGTTGTTGAAGAAGATGAAGAGATTTGATTTTGTTGAAGAAGATAATGAGAATTAGTTTTATTAAAATGAAGATGAAGAGATTTGAGGGACACGGCATACAAGACTACTGGTTTTACGCAGAAGTAGAATGAGGGAAGTACTTGAAAGGGCAAAACAGGAAAGTCCATACATTTTTTACTTTATATTAAAACCCGTGCCAAGTCAAAACGGGAAGTTTCAACTTGGACGGAGGGATTATATAGCAAACTACTCTTGTCTGAATATAGTTGTCCACTTACTTAAAAAACATCATTTTTTTAAAATGAGTATACAATGTCAAATAAGCCCTTCAAATGAGAAAGTGGACAATGCTTTTGACTATGATATACTCCCTCTGTCCACCATAGATCTTCCCAGACACTACTATTCACAGGGTCAAACTTTACCCACTTTGTTTGCTCATTTTTACTAGTCATTTCATAAAATAATATAGTCTTGTCACCTCTAGTTTTGTAGAACTTTTCATGTAGTTTATTACTATATAAATTTTATTTTAAAATTTTACTCCTATAATCAATTAAATTGAATTGAAAATAAAGTCGGTCAAGCCTCGTAACGCGTAATGGGAAGATCTAACATGGACGGAGGGAGTATTAGACAATTCATCATAATTTTGTATATTGAATATGGAAAGTGGACAACTAATTTTGGAAAAGTGAAGAAGAAATTGGACAACAAAGTATATATTAAGGGCTGCTGTTATGGAATTTCTTAAGCTTTTACATTGATATGCAGTTCAATTAATAAGTCACTAATTCGGCTATTGACCCAGTGTATTGGCTTGGTGGACAACCAATCCAAATTGTAAAACACTGGTTTTGATGTGTATAAGTGAAGTGCATTTGGAAAGAAGCAAAAGATCATGCACATATGTAAAAAAAATGCATTAATATACTTGGGTTAGACAAAAAAATCATATGCACAACCCAGGGACCACTTACCTGAGAATTTTGCACAAGCACATCAACAGCAGCAAGATATGGTGCAACAGTCAGAGTCTTATTGACAAAATGAACATGGCTTTCGATCTTCTTAAGTTGTACAAAGTTCCTAAGTTCCATCTCAAATTTGCTTTGACTAGTCATGTCACTTCCTACAACAACAGCGTGGACAGAAGGCAATTGCATCTTCTTATGTTGAATCAGTTGCAAGCTCTCATAGAAAGAGTGCAAAAACAAGTCTTGACCCTTTCCACGAGACACGCCTGGAACATTAAAATTGTAAGTCATATACAAGAAGCCAGAGCTTGTAACAGATGAACATTGTTGAACTGTAAAGAGCCTAGTCTTTATAGGTTGGAAAAAAATAAACTATTTAGTTCTACTCTATGGGGAATTAGGTGGAAATGTAACCTATAGTGTTATATAGTAAAATTAAGCTTTTAAAAGCTGATGTATCTTCTTGGCGACACTTTCTTATTTTTAAACTTAATGAAGATAACTGTGTCTTAGAGAAAATATTTTCATATTTCAAAATTAAGGTTGATATTAGAACAACAGGATAAATAAGAATAATAAACACATAAATATACCACTAATGATAAATCAAAATTCCAAGAGCATGACTACTATAAAGTATAAAATTATAAAATCCAACATCAATTATAAATTTAACTTACATATAAATATGATCAAAATAAGTGAATACCGCTATAAGAGTTACTATAGTAACATATTATAGAATCTTATAAATTAAAACTTAAAAAGAAAACATATATATATATATACATATATATATATACATATACATATACATATATAAATATATATATATATATATATATATATATATGCAAAGTGGTGAGCTTTGCATTGGCCATTGGTGAGCTTTGCAGAGTAATGTCGTGAGCTTGGCATCATCTCACCGGATCTGGCCGGAGTCGATCCCATTAATATATATATATATATATATATATATATATATACACACACACACACACATACATACATATATATACATACATACATACATATATATATATGTATGTGTGTGTGTGTGTGTGTGTATATATATATATGTATATATATATATATATAGAGAGAGAGAGAGAGAATTTTGAAATTGTTTTGTATAATTGACTTATCTAAATAGCTAAAACAATGACATCTCAATGACGTAAGTGTTGATGTCATAATGTCACCTCCTAAGGGGCTGTTTGGTTGAAGGGAAGAGGGAGGGAGGGGAGGGATGGGATGGGTTCCCTTCTTGTTTGGTTGGGGGAGGGGAAGAAAAGAACAAAAGGGGTCGGAAGTCAAGTGAAACACTGGGAAAAGAGAATCAATGGGCTCAATTTGCGGGACTTCATCTCTGTCATTCTGTCTTTCCACTTTCTCCGTTGTAAACTCAGCCGGACTTCATCTCTGTCATCTCTGGCTCAATTCAGCCGGACTTCCCTTCCCTCCCTTCTCCTCCCCCTAACCAAACAGGCCCTAAAAGTAATGTCTAATGTCTTTTTTCTACGCTTCCTCTTAAGCTAGAAAGGACCTTTAAGTGAGTTTGTCCAGATGTTTGAAAGTTCACCACTGTGCTTACATAACTGATCACAATGTGTCTAGATATGATCTCTCGAATGAAGTGGTATGTATTGTTCCTTGATTATCACATATTAACAATACCATTTCTTTGCTCCCATATTTTTATTCTTGGGGCCGTTGGACATGGTGCTTCAAATTCTTTAATCATACAATCTCATATTTCCTCTAAGAGAGAAAGGTTCCATTGCTAGATTGTGACATTTAATACTGAGTACCTTATTTTCTTCAGGTCCTCGGTTTAGAATTCTCTAAACAAATATTCTATAAGCTGGGAATTACCCTTCTAGATCATGTCTATCAACAATATCATCTACATATACCATCAAGTAAATGCAGCTGCTACTGGTGGAATGTTGATAGAATACAAAATGATTAACATTATTTCTAATTATTCCAAATATGAAAATGACCATAGCAAGTACCCAAACCATCACATGGAGTTTGCTCTCATATCTAATTGAAACAATGACAAACTGCTCATAGAGGTCATGAACAAAATCAACAAAATTGAAGATGCAGTCATGGAGAACCAGCCTTGGCAATAAGTTGAGGGATTTAATTTCCTTGATTTATTTTTATTTATATAGTCCCCAATTTTGTCGCAAATTTGGAATTGGCATTATTATTTACTACGTAATATTTTTAAATTTGGCATATTGTTTATGTTCCATAATTACAGTACAATTGTAATAGCATACGCGGTATTAAGGAAAACTTGTAAATTTTATAGCAAGTTGGAATTGATCAAAAAAAGTATTCTTGGAAGTGAATAAACATATCACAAAAATGACAAAACAAAAGACTTACTATTTATGAGAGCGAACAGTATATCTTCATTTCGAACTCCGAGCGACTCGCGAACATGTTCACGCAAAACCCTTTTTGCAACACTGTCTTCTGCAACTTCCATTAGCTCTTTGCTATTTCCAAGGTGAACAACGTAGGTTTTAGGCATCTTGATCCTACAATTTTTTCAAAGGATCAATGACAAATTCAAAAACATAGAGCATGTAAACTAAAAATGTGGGGATAATTGGATCAATTCACTTGCATAGAAATAATGGTAAAGAGTGCAAAATTTGCACAATGTTACATATTTAAGAATATAGTTTTTGAAATTTAAGAAATTCAAACTATATAGTGAATGTTCAAGAAAATTTGTAAAGCGTCACAATGGTGAACATTCAGTTTCATCATTTTACCTCTTTATGTTTCAAAAATATAGAGAATATATTCATCAAAAAAAAGAGGGGGAACAACCTGGAAAAGATTTATATTACGTTGGTCCTCCAAAGAAACTATAGCAGGTTAAGGTAAGCTTATCTATGAAATCAACTAATATAATGCCAAATTGCCAATAGCAATTAGGCATAAGACACATATCTGCATATATGTGGACAAGATATATTGGGTTGATACCCCAATTTCATATCTCTGGAAATTTAAATATGTTTTAAACCAGACAGTGTCATCCAATATAAATTATGAAATATAAAGTGCAGATGAAAATACTGATTCTTTAAAGGTGATTGTGTACATCTAAGAAAAGATATGATAATTGAAGATTAAATAATTTAAAAGTCTTTATTTTGTGTCATGATTTAGGCATGATTTTTTTATACCATCAATCTAAAATAACATGAGGTACAAATAAAGTAATTAGGCATGCTTAGAAAATAGAAATAGCATTATTTACTGTATATTTATGATTTACTCTGTCCCAAAAAGAAAGTTATATCTCAAAAGCTTTTTTCATCCCAAACAAGTCTTATTTCATCAAACACAACTACTTTCATATACTCTATCAATAATTTGCTAAAAAATGTTAGGAACAAGTTGAATATTAAACATTGCGTTTAACTACCTAATAACTTTTGAACAAAGTATCATGATTTTAATCTTACGTACTTTACACCAAAGAAAACAACACAAGTGAATCCCACAAAAGTAGTTGAATTCCGCCATAGTTGTTGCGGACTAGGCGAGGCCGGGCACCAGAGTACCTTCTAGTCGCCTAGGCAATTTGGCATCCGCCTAGGCGTCCCTTAGGTGAGTGCAATATGGCAACACACACACACAAATACATACATATATATATATAGAGAGAGATGAATCGAACACATGTTACTCTTTAAAAAATAGAGTTCATCATCGCCTTGGGTGTTTTCAAGCAAAATTAGGCGAGAGTCGACGCTTAGGCAAGCGCCTCGTTTTCAGACGAGGTGTCCATCTCATAGCGCCGACGCCTTAATAACTATGAATCCCATAGAAATAGGGTCTTGGAAGGGTGTGTGACCTTACCCCTACTAGAAAGTAGAGAGGCTGTTTCCAAAGAGACCCCCCGACTCAAAAATGCAGTATGACCCCTATGTTTAAAGCATAGAGCGGGTGGGCAATTGCTACTTCACTATTAAACGAAGCACACATAGTTTAAAGAGCCATTTTTCTTTATTCCATCTTACCCCAAAGCCAAAAAAAATAGTGAATCCCTGGGTCCATTGGGGATTATGGAAATTTTATCTTATATACTTTGTTTAAACTTAAACATTGCACGGTAACCACAGAAGACTCTTGTTGGACAAAGAAAGTAATATATCATCGATATGTTTAAAAAAATTCACGTAGTTGAATGGGAGTGGATAAACGTTCTCAGTACACCTACCTTTTACTGGGCCAATTGGTTGATGCATCCTAGCTGAATTTTTATTGGGATATGCAGCATATGCCACAATTTAAAAATCACAACCAATAACAAATCATTTTCAGCAAAATTTGAATTTAGATTGGATTTATGTTATCAATTCTAATAATGTGAATTACGCAAATGGGCAACCCATAAAGAGGGTATTGCACAAAAAGATCTTTAAATCTATTTAGCATTGTTGGCAGACCATTGAGTTTCCAACAATTTTCTTTCATTCAGCCATATAAACACAGGACAAATGATATTCAACATTAAAGCTATTCTCAGGATTAAAAATCATTATGGCAAAAGACATGAATGTTCATCATTTGTGTGTGTGTGTGCATGTGTAAATATATACTTGACCTATTTGTTTTATATTTAAAATTATTTTTCCAATCCACTACCTTTCTTCCATGTTCTAAGGGTACATGAAAAATGTGTGCATTAGACGCAACAACAAAACCCAGTATAATCTCAACTTTGTTGAGGACTGGTCATGATAAAAATAGCAAAGTTGTTTCCACTAGACCCATGATGTATTGTCGCATTTACTAATCAAAACTTCATAAAAAGAAGCAAATGACGTTTATTGAGCCATTTTGATTTGGTCCGTTATTTATCCAAAGTGAAACTATTGCCAATAATGATTGTTCTAGACAATGGACACACTTTTAGAATACAGTTAAATAATACCCCCCTCTATTCCACTAGGTTTGAAAGATAGGGAGTTGGCAAGCAAAATAAGATAAAAAAAAGAATTGTGTGGACAAAGATGGTGGGACAGGAGTATAATATCAGTTCTCCAAAATACATGTAATTTTCATGTAGAATTCAAATAGTCTTTTTTTTCTAGACAAAAGCTGGATATTAAACTGTGAGCTTTGGAGAAAGGCATATCAGAGGCAAAAAAGGAGCAACCTCCAAGATAAAGTTTGAAAGTCCCTCCACCATTCTCCTTTGGTCAACGGTTTGCTATGTCGAAGAGAGTAAAGGTACAAGGAACTTCGAAATATCAAGGGAGCAAATAAAAATCTGTAAACCCTGTAAACACTTACCCTTGAAAAAAAAACTTGCACCAAATCATTCCATTGCAAGTTCTGCTTTCAAGGATTACTGGAAAATGAATAAATTATAAATTCGAAATTTTTCTAGCTATATTTGTATATAATGGTAACCCTTCATTTTTATTCTATTCTTCATTTTTACTTTTTAAATGTAAAAATAATGGTGTTACAGGCTGAAATAAATAAGAGCATATACAATTCATTGAAATCATATGATGAGAAAAGCATTAAAGGCATACCCTAAGCGTGTTGTTGTCCTATTCTTCCAGTACTCTGCTGTTACATGGGAATCAATCATTGCACCAGCGACAAATGGAAGATGCTTTACATAATCCAGATTGAAGTAGTGGCCTCGCATTTCATGAATCCACCAGAGAACTTTGGGGAGGACATGAGGAGTATTGTCCTTGAGAACAGCATCTAGCCACTTTCCAGCAACTGCTGTGTTTAAAACAATCAAGTCTGCTTTTAGAGCAGCATCTTTTGCCTCTTGGCCCTTTGCAGGGAGAACCTAAACGAAGTACATCAAATTATTAGTGGAAGAATGGATCACAGTAGTAAAGAAACATGTTAGCATCACAAGAAGGTTAATTCTTGCATGGGACTGAAGTCCATGATGGACCTCCATATAAGCTAAATAAGCATTTGCTTACAACTGACATAATTATTTTTTATTTTTTTATTTTAATATTTAAAATTAATATTTGTGTGAGAAGGTCCATGTGGACCTTACAGACCTTAGGTCCATGGCAAAAAACATAGAGCTTCTCTCACAAGAATATCACACACACAAGTTGCCAAACATGTGCATGGCAGCCCACAAAAAGATAAGGCTATTGAATGGAAGAAAATCAGGAAAAAGTTTAGCATCAACTAATTATAACCTGTACTCCTCGGTCAAGCATTTTATGTTCCAAACTGTATATGACATTATCTGTTTCAGCTGGTTTTTGATTTGTGATCCACCAGACATCAGTACCAACACCTCTCAAAAGAAAAGCCAGCTCCATCAACAAGAGAGGCCCACCTAATATGAAAATTGAACAACAAATGTATGAAAATATACAAATGCAATAATAAACGGGTGGTTAATTCTTTTTTTTTCTTTTCTTTTATTCTTCTCCGTACTATGCACTTACTAAATACCCACTATGCTCTGCGCACAACAAAAAAACAAAGAATCCAGGGAATAATCTAAGTTACTACATAAGATCAGTGTACTACTATTTACTGAAGTACTGAATAAATTGTAGAAAATCAAAGTAATATCCTCAAGTATAAAGTGTCATCAATGCTAGGCCCAACGGAATAGGATAAGGACATCAGAAAATAATCACATTTCTTTATGTGAATTTGAAGGCATAGCAAGTTTCATTTATAATTTATTGTGAATGGGTAGAGACTTCATTTCATTGAGGTTGATCCAGGCCAGACAACCACATCAAGAAAACGTCCCATCCTGGTATTGTGCTCCCTGATCACAATACCAAATAATCAATAAGAGCCCGTTTAATTTTACTCTTTCAATAAAAAAATATACCACACTCATTCAAATTTAGAACAGCTAATGAAAGAACCCAATGCAAAACAAAAGCACACCATGTCTTTGAAAAAGCTCAGATCATTTTGATAAGAACTCTGATCTGTTTTACCGTGAAGGCCTACAGTACGAGTCTGCATAGCCTGTCTAGTTCTGCTTTATACTTCCATTTTAATGTATAACAATAAGACATAAAAGTATCTCAACCATAGTCACATAAATCACGGTACGTTTCAGTACGGGTACGAAATTCGCTAGAGGTAACGAATTCGGTACGAAGGGGGGTAGGTTCATTTCGGTACGAAGTGGTACGGTGTACCATGTATTCGGTTTGGCGTACCAAAAGTCAAAACATAAGTAAACAAAAATAGATAAGATGAGCATAAGTGCATAACATTACAAAATCCAATTGAAAAACAAGACATCATCTAAAATATTCTAATCTAGATGCTGCCTTTTTCCTCTCCCATTGTCGAAGCCTTCATCATCAAGATCTTCCCAAACCATTTCTTCAAGGCGAGCACTTGAACCTTCTATATATGCATTTTTGGGATTCACGTCCCAGTTTTTGTAAGGGCCTGATTTGTAGGACTCTGAAAAGCGCGATTGAAGTCAAATATTCGAGTGAATAAACACAAGTTTATCGGCTCTCTTGGAATTTAAGCGATTCCTCTTGACATTATGGATATAGGAGTATGTACTCCAGTTTCTCTCCGCCGAAGAGCTACTAATTGGCTAAGACAAGACTTTCTTAGCTATTTCCGCCAATTCAGGAGTCTCTGATCCATATGTTGCCCACCAATCAATTGGATCCATTGTCACGGCATCAGCTTGTGTTGCTGCCCTTGAGTACATCCCTTTCTTCATATGAAAGGTTGCAAATTGTTCTCTTAATACCTTATCTTCATGATCAATTCTTTGAAATGCTTCCATAACACCAAGTACAACTTCTTTGTCTTGGTTTGATGCTTTTCTTTCCATGCCACCAGGAGCCAACTTTTCTAAGTAGTACTTATCATAAAATTTTGGATTTAAAGCAAAACCCAAACAATGAAGTGGGATTGTCATTTTCTCCCACCTATTTAAAACAATTCTTTGAACTTCAGAAAAAGAAGATGAGTACTTATTTTCCATCATAGCATCTTTGATTTCTCCTACCATGTTATCCATTTTTTCATATATTTCTCCCTTTTTGAACTTTCCCCATCACAAAACTTCACAATCAGAAAAATGGGTTTTGTAAAAGTCAAAGTATTCTCAACATCTTCCCAAAACACATCATCTTTAATCGTTTCAGTGACAATATATCCAGATGTTCGCATGTTTTCATCCCCTCTTTTGACCCATTCCTGCCAAGAATTGAGGACTATTGCAATGTGAGGGCCTGATTTGTATATAAGCATATCTTGCAATGTCTTGGCGGGAATGGGTCAAAAGTGGGTATGAAGACATGCGAACAGCTGGATATATTGTCACTGAAACGATTAAAGATGATGTGTTTTGGGAAGATGTTGAGAATATTTTGGCTTTTACAAAACCCATTTTTCTGATGGTGAAGTTTTGTGATGGGGAAGGTTCAAAAATGGGAGAAATCTATGAAAAAATGGATAACATGGTAGGAGAAATCAAAGATGCTATGATGGAAAATAAATACTCATCTTCTTTTTTTGAGGTTCAAAGAATTGTTTTAAATAGGTGGGAGAAAATGACAATCCCACTTCATTGTTTGGGTTTTGCTTTAAATCCAAAATTTTATGATAGGTACTACTTAGAAAAGTTGGCTCCTGGTGGCATGGAAAGAAAAGCACCAAACCAAGACAAAGAAGTTGTACTTGGTGTTATGGAAGCATTTCAAAGAATCGCTCATGAAGATAAGGTATTAAGAGAACAATTTGCAACCTTTCATATAAAGAAAGAGATTTACTCAAGGGCAGCAACACAAGCTGATGTCGTGACAATGGATCCAATTGATTGGTGGGCAACATATGGATCAGAGACTCCTGAATTGGCGGAAATAGCTAAGAAAGTCTTGCCTCAGCCAATTAGTAGCTCTTTGGCGGAGAGAAACTGGAGTACATACTCCTATATCCATAATGTCAAGAGGAATCCCTTAAATTGCAAGAGAGCCGATAAACGTGTGTTTATTCACTCGAATATTTGACTTCAATCGCGCTTTTCAGAGTCCTACAAATCAGGCCCTTACAAAAACTGGGACGTGAATCCCAAAAATGCATATATAGAAGGTTCAAGTGCTCGCCTTGAAGAAATGGTTTGGGAAGACCTTGATGATGAAGGCTTTGACAATGGGAGAGGAAAAAGGCAGCGTCTAGATTAGAATATTTTAGATGATGTCTTGTTTTGCAATTGGATTTTGTAATGTTATGCACTTATGCTCATCTTATCTATTTTTGTTTACTTATGTTTTGACTTTTGATACGCCGAACCGAATACATGGTACACCGTACCGCTTCGTACCACTTCGTACCGTAATGAACCTACCCCCCTTCGTACCGAATTTGTTACCTCTAGCGAAATTCGTACCCGTACCGCGTACCCGTACCGAAACGTACCGCGATTTATGTGACTATGGAGGGGACTCTTGATAGTGACTGGAATGTTTGTGATGGGCTGTTATTCTTTCATCGCAAGTCACGTTGACTTGCTTTTGTCATTTAATGTAGTGCCCACACTAGTTTCTATATTCCATTTCAATGCATATGGTGTACTCAAAAAACAGTCAAATGCTTGTGAAGAGTTTGTCAAGTATTACCAAACCTGCTAGCAAACCTCCAAGTTCACCAGCTTACTTCAATCACTACCTATTCTGAAAACATTTAGGTAATGTCTTTATGGATTTTATCAAAAGGCTTCCTATTATGAGGGGTAAAACAGTCATTTTCATGGTTGTGGATTGGCTGTCCAAGGCTGCTCATTTCATTGAAGTGTCCCATGTGTATACCATATTGAAGATGGCTGTAATTTTCCTCTCCGAGATTTTTCACATGCACGAATTACTGAAGTGTAGTATTTCATAACGGGATAATGTCTTTGTGAGCTACTTTGGGGGAGAGTTGTTTGGCCACATTGACACCAAATAGATGTTCCCTTTTGTATATCACCCACAAACACATGATAAAAAAGGTGATCAATCATCTGCTTTGGGTGAAACCATTTTCTGTGACGTGCACGGGCATGAGTGTGTGACCCCCCTAAAATCACATCTGACTTTCTTACACTAACGAGTCAGCTAAACTTGAAGGGGATGAGCATGAGCTCTTGGACCAAGATGGGCTTCCTGCCACTCCGAAAGATCACATGCTCCAAGCAAAAACCTGAATAAATGTCCAATATTGCAAGGGATATCATGTGCTTACATTTGCAATAAAGGATAATGTCTGGCTATATACATCTGACTTTCTTACACTAACGAGTCAGCTAAACTTGAAGGGGATGAGCATGAGCTCTTGGACCAATATGAGCTTCCTGCCACTCTGAAAGATCACATGCTCCAAGCAAAAACCTGAATAAATGTCCAATATTGCAAGGGATATCATGTGCTTACATTTGCAACAAAGGATAATGTCTGGCTATATACACCCTTACCGGCAGCTCTCATAGATCTGTCGCCATCATAAACTGCTAAACAAGTTTTTTGGACCATTTAAGGTTGACTCCTGCATTGGGTGGTTTTGCAGCGCTGCAGCTTTCAGCCTAATGAATCCCTTAAATAGCAAGTTCCATGATGTCTTACATGTCTCCATTCTCAAACGACACAAGGGTCGATTCATTTGACTATGGTTTCTCTGCAACAACTCAACTGTGTTATGACCCTTGCAGTTCAGCCCTTCAAGTGCATTTGAACTGTGATCAGCCAGACCTCTATGTTCATTGGGATGGTAAGACAATCGAAAAGCTACTTGGGAGTTGGGATCTCAGCACCTCGCTACTCCCTGCGATGCATTTCCTGATTTCAAGATAAGGAAAAGCTCTTTTACAATGAGGAGAATGGTATTGGCTCTTTCGTGGGCCAGAAGCATCCCTGCCAGATGCAGGAATGGATGGTGCATCCCACAGCACGTGTTGCCTTGTCTTTTTTCCTAATAACTATCACATTAGCCTTTATCCAGTCCATAACTTTGTTGTAGTCTTTAATTCCAACTCTATGCATATGTTTTTAGAGAAATCCCACATCAGCAAATTTAAGAAAGAACAATGGGTTAATAAGATCTCATGTTAAACTAGTTAATCGAATGAAATCAATCCTCATATGATACCTTTGTAAAATTTAGGATGATGTATGAGTCACTCAAACTAGTTAATGTTTTGTTGATTTAGTAATAGTATAATGGTTTAAAGTTACTACAAAATTTAATTTAAATATTAATTGGTTTTAATTTGAGCTTTTAGTGGTGCTATGTGTGGTTTTTATTGGTGGTTATATTTTCTGTACTATAAGTTTCTTATAGAACTCCTATAGATGATATTTTTAAAAGTATGTGCCTTCCATGGGTGAGGGGAGTGCTTTTTTTTTGCTCCTTAAGCCTCAGACAATATAGGGTTTGCATCTTATGACAAAAATGGTGGACATGAGTCGAAAAACTAATCAAGGATGGACTTGAGCATCCATTATGTGAAACTTTGGACTTCATTCTCTTTTTTCAATCTTCATGCTATACTAATTGCAAGATCCCATTTCTTTTCACCTTAAGTACTCACTATCGTTGTTAATTTCAGAGACACTTAATATATATTCAATCTCGCCCATTTTTCTTTTGTTTCATCCATTAATCCAGCTTTTTGAGAGCCACATATGCAACTTGGCAGCTCAAAAACATATATTACTAAGCACAAGCCTCTTGACCACAATCTCAGATAAAATGATCAGTTATATATTTAGCCCAAACAGTAATAATAGTTGGATAAAGTTGAAACCTTTCTAGTTGAATGCTAAGGTTACTGCTATGATAAAAACGAAATATCTGTGTCTAATATCCATAAACGCCCAAAAGAAGAGTACCTGAAAGAGAGAGCTCATGTGAAACCAAAAGTACATGCTTCGACTTCATGAAACTGAGTGGGCTCCCACGAATCCCAGCAGGACCAATCTGCTTGAAATCTTGCAGATTACCACCAAATACCTTCCCAGAACCCACTCCTCTGCGGCAATCACAGGAGTCAATCCCGCCTCTGATTAGAAAGGCAATTACTGTGGTGACGGAGAGCATAACAAGGAGAGCAAACACCAAATGCCCGCGCCGCTTCCAGAACAAGGCCAAGGGTGCTGAAGAGTAAGAAGACTGAAGCTTCGCCATCCCAGTGGTGCTAGTGCTTGTGTGTGGGGGATCTCCGTGACAATAGATGGCATTGTAAGGAGGAAGAGTAGATAAAAAAAGGCCTATTCAAAAATATAATTGATCTGAAATTTTAAAATATGATCTCTTAAGATTTTTACTAAAATTTATATCAATGGATGCACCTGTAGTTTCTTTAGTTAAATCTGAGGGTTTAAAAAATGAAAAGATTTTTCTCAATTTGAATAAACACAGAAATGGTTAAATTTTAAAAAACACAAACCCATGAAATTATCGCACTCAATGATTAAAAAACTCAAAAAAAAACGATCTAAAGAAAGTAAACCTGAAGAATATTTTAAAATTTGAAAAAATTGCCCAGCGAAACCTAGGAAATTACGCCACGGTGAGGTTCTACCAGGGAGGAGTCTGCGCCAGTCGGACCGTGGGAGCGTGCGCCGGCGAGTCGGAGGCGGCGTCGTGATGAAAATGCAGTGGAGGGGCCGAGCGGGCTGGTCTGTTCGTTTTGAAGGAATAATCCCTTGTGAAACGTGTCAGTGACGGACGAATATAAGATACACATTATACTATACAAGTTGCAAGTTGAGGATGTAATGTATGGGCGTATGGCCATTTTGTACTACCTTGGACACATTTTGGGGTTAACATTTAAAGAATCTTGTGTCAATTTTAGGGTCACATTTGAGATATCTCGAGCATGAATGGGTCAGTTTTTTATATTTTAAGATTTCTTAAGTTAGTGTTTGGTCATGTGTTTTCACTAAGACATAAGTGATGAAAGGCGATATTTTTTTATTTTTGAAAAATCTGCAACGGACTTTTATATCCCGTCGCAGATCTGCAACGGATTTCTATTCCGTCGTAGATTTTTTTCTAGATTTTTGCCACTTCTTTTCGTCGCAAACACTGTCGCAGATTTGCGACGGACACAAACTTCCGTCGCAGATTTTGGCCTAGCCACAAGTTTTTTGCGACGGACAAAGTCTGTTGCAGATCCGTTGCAAATTCTGAATTTGCTACGGAATTCGCAAATCTGCGAGGGAATTTGTCCGTCGCAGATCTTACAAATTCTTGTAGTGATGAATTTCAAATTAAGCTTTGTTTTGAATGTAAAGAATTTGATTCAAATCAAAATTCAAAATGCTTAAATTTCCCAAACATGGAATTTAAGCTAAATTCGGATTTGAAATCCAAATCCATGTTCCCAAACATACCATTAATGAATTTAAAAAGTGGTGTATTGTTATTTTGATAGAATTTACATTGTATTGTTTAATGAGAAAAGTACATCATTTACTCCCGAACTCTTTGAAATTGCATTATTTATGAATATTAGAAAGTGTACTATTTACCCTCAAACTAGGGGTGGATACGGTAATGTTCCGGGACGGTTCCGGTACCATCACCCTTGGTACCGGTACCGTGACCAGACCGGCCGGTACCGGTTCCGGTACCCGGACCGGCGGTTCCAGTGCCAGACCGGCCGGTTTCGGCCACCCTCATTTATAATTTTTTTGTTTTTTTAATTTTTTAAAGTGTAAAATTGTAAATGTGTAATTTTAAAGGAAATAATGAAATAAAAAATCTAAAATTGTAGTTGTTATTTAAATATTGTAAAATGAGTAATACACGAACTGAAGAACAACTACATTTAATATCCTGATGGTTCAAAAAAAGCGACGAGATAAAGAATTGTAAAGAAACCCTCGAAGGAGCTTATATATCGCTCACCTAAAAAACTAATTACATATTTGCTTTAACATAAAAAAAAGTTTATAACTTATTTCTCATAACTCGGGCTTCCATATGTGGTTCCATTCATGTAATGATCGGAATTGAAATCGTATCCTGACTCTTGAGCTCGACGTCTTGCCAAGAGCCAATCTCGGTTGCAAACAAGTGTGTCAAGAGATTCAGCGCTAAGACAGCTTCGATAGTCGGTAAGAATGTTGCCGCCAGCATTGAATTCTTGTTCCATTGCTACGGTTGATACCAGGACAGATAAAATTTGTCTTGCTATCATTCCGAGACATGGGAACATGTGTTCGTTCCGCTTAAATAAAGCCTCAAAAAGAATAATAGCATTATCTCTTTCTTTTTCGCATTCAATTAAATGTGTGTACTAATAATTATTTTCATCTAAAAAAAATTGTAGTAATAGTCAATTAGAATTTTATAATTTTCAATCTTAAAGCATGGATCACAAATAATACCTATTTTATAAATATCAAGAATGTACAAAAAATAAGCACACCATTTATCTTTCATAGGAGAGACATAAGGGTACAAATCTCGACACCATAGCTACGAACCTTCTACCGGACTCTCTCGACATTTTAATATATTCTTTTTTATAAAAAAGGACTATATTAAATATTTAAAATATTAATTATTTATTAAATTTCGAAAATATAATATTATATTAAAAAATAAATAATATAATATATTAGTAAATAATAATATATGATAATATGATTATTAATGAATGAATTTATATATTATTATATAATATAGTAATATATATTTCTATTATTATATTACTTATATGAATATAAATTGTAAAAAAATTAAAAAATGAGGAATAGATTGAGAATGAGAGATTGAGAGGGAATGAGAGATAGAGTTTGAGAGTTGTGTGAAATTTTTAAAAAAAATTAGTGTATTTATAATGTAGTCAACCTCCCCCCAACCCCCTCCCCCAGCCCCCTTCCCCACCCCTCCCTTCCCCTCAACGGCTAAGTAGTTATTTGAAGGGTCCCCCCTCCCTTTCATGTTTCTTTTCTTTTGCAGGTGGGCCGCAAAAAGCAAAAAAAAACTGGTGGAGCAGTGGTAGAAAAGTGAAAGCAAGTGCTTGTGTGGTGGATCTCGGTCACAATAGATGGCATTCTAAGGAGGCCAGCAAGGAAGAGTAGTGTGCATACATTTGACTTCACACTAGATAAGTGCAAAACAAGGCTCTGGGTGGGGAGTTATTGTGCTGGCAGTGTGACGGATTGAATGACCCGCGGTTCACCCTTGATATGGCAAAATAATTTTTTCACTTACGAGCTATATCTGAGTAGATCAAAAAGACTTATTCAAAAATGTAATTGATCTGAAGTTTTAAAATATGATCTCTTAAGATTTTTACTAAAATCTGTATCAATGGATGCACCTGTAGTTTCTTTAGTTAAATCTGAGGGTTTAAAAAATGAATAGATTTTTTCTCAATTTGAATAAACACAGCAATGGTTAAATTTTAAAAACACAAACCCATGAAATTATCGCACTCAATGATTAAAAAACTAAAAAAAAACGATCTAAAAAAAGTAAACCCGAAGAATGTTTTAACATTTAAAAAATTGAAGTTTCGAACAAAACCTGGGAAATTACGTCACGGCATCTGCCTGCGGCGGAAGACGGTGAGGTGCTACCACGGAGGAGTCTGCGCCGGTCGGACCGTGGGAGCGTGCGCCGGCAGAGTCGGAGGCGGCGTCGTGAAAATGCAGTGGAGGGGCCGAGCGGGCTGGGTCTGTTCGTTTGAAGGAATAATCCCCTTGTGAACAACGGAGTACTCCGTAAAAAGTGTCAGTGACGGACGAATATAAAATACGCATTATACTCTGCAAGTTGCAGATGTATGGTCATTTTGACTACCTTGGACACATTTTGAGGGTAACATTTTCACAATATGTTTTGTTCAAAGATTTTAGAAGGAAAAAAAATGAAAATAATTTATTCACTTGCGAGCTATATCTGAGTAGATCAAAAAGACCTATTCAAAAATGTAATTGATCTGAAATTTTAAAATATGATCTCTTAAAATTTTTACTAAAATCTGTATCAATAAATGCACATGTAGTTTCTTTAGTTAAATATGAGGGTTTAAAAAATGAATAGATTTTTCTCAATTTGAATAAACACAGCAATGGTTAAATTTTAAAAACACAAACTCATGAAATTATCGCACTCAATGATTAAAAAACTAAAAAAAAAACGATCTAAAAAAAGTAAACCCGAAGAATGTTTTAACATTTGAAAAAATCGAAGTTTCGAACGAAACCTGGGAATTACGTCACGGCATCTGCCTGCGGCGGAAGACGGTGAGGTGCTACCACGGAGGAGTCTGCGCCGGTCGGACCGTGGGAGCGTGCGCCGGCAGGGTCGGAGGCGGCGTCGTGAAAATGCAGTGGAGGGACCGAGCGGGCTGGGTCTGTTCGTTTGAAGGAATAATCCCCTTGTGAACTACGGAGTACTACGTAAAAAGTGTCAGTGACGGACGAATATAAAATACGCATTATACTCTGCAAGTTCCAGATGTATGGTCATTTTGACTACCTTGGACACATTTTGGGGGTAACATTTTCACAATATGTTTTGTTCAAAGATTTTAGAAGGAAAAAAAATGAAAATGATTTATTCACTTGCAAGCTATATCTGAGTAGATCAAAAAGACCACTTCAAAAATGTAATTAATCTGAAGTTTTAAAATATGATCTCTTAAGATTTTTACTAAAATTTGTATCAATGGATGCACATGTAGTTTCTTTAGTTAAATCTGAGGGTTTAAAAAATGAATAGATATTTCTCAATTTGAATAAACACACCAATGGTTAAATTTTAAAAACACAAACTCATGAAATTATCGCACTCAATGATTAAAAAACTCAAAAAAAAAATGATCTAAAAAAAGTAAACCCGAAAAATGTTTTAGCATTTGAAAAAATTGAAGTTTCGAACGAAACCTGGGAATTACGTCACGGCATCTGCCTGCGGCGGAAGACGGTGAGGTGCTAACACGGAGGAGTCTGCGCCGGTCGGACCGTGGGAGCGTGCGCCGGCAGGGTCAGAGGCGGCGTCCTGAAAATGCAGTGGAGGCGCCTAGCGGGCTGGGTCTGTTCGTTTGAAGGAATAATCCCCTTGTGGACTACGGAGTACTCCGTTAAAAGTGTCAGTGACGGACAAATATAAAATACGCATTATACTCTGCAAGTTGCAGATGTATGGTCATTTTGACTACCTTGGACACATTTTGGGGGTAACATTTTCACAATATGTTTTGTTCAAAGATTTTAGAAGGAAAAAAAAATGAAAATAATTTATTCACTTGCGAGCTATATCTGAGTAGATCAAAAGGACCTAT